TCCGAGCAAAATTGTATCAAAGATACAACAAGAATTCATTAAGTGCATATAATAAACGTGATTATAGTCAATTTATCTTGTATAAATGTAATGTTATCCTTGAATTTTCCTGGCAAGGTTTTCAATGAGACTATTTTTGTAACGTATTCAAAAGAACAAATGTACTATTTTTTCTACAGGATTTTCCCTAATAAAGTTTTAACGATGCATATCCTTTATGCAATGCATGCCCATAACTTAAAAGACATTACCTTTAAAATAATACTATGATGTGTGTGAGATTCTTAAATAGTCAACAAGAGCTATTTTTCGAACCATGTTACCGCAATAATCAAATGTTGATAAATATCTCGTACAAATACGATGTTATTTGAAGACTATACAAGATAACACGAAACATGCTTTACCAAAAGTACAATTTTGAAGACATTGTCGTACAAGACATGAAATACTCAATACAAGAATTTTCATTTATTGAAATCAGGGGAACAACTGCACTCTTTTTCCTTCGATTAAGTTTTGTTGCAGTAGGTGTTCTTGACAAGATTCTAACGAGACATATATTATATAATGTGTTTTTCAAGGAGGAGTGTTTTAAACGGTAAGTTTATTAGTAAAGTTCTTAATAAAACACGAGTCTATTGATCTCTCTACTTTATTTATTATTTTTATTTTTTTTCCCCTCTAATTTATAACAAATGTAAGACATTTTTGCTGACTAATTTTTCTCGTTCTTCTTTTACTTGGAGTTAAAAAGCACAATATCCTTATATAACCATAAATTGACACTTACTTCCTAATTGAAAGACTATATGGATAAATAAAAGATTTTAACTCAAAATATACTGAAAAAAAAAAATCATCCACTAATAATTTTTATTTTCAGTCATATTTTTTCAACTTCTTTTGTGTCAAACCATGAAAAACAATGTTTTAACTATTATCGTTGATTATGGTGAAAGAATTAATCAGAGTTGAAATAATATGCAATTTGAACGAAAAGATCCATTCAGCATGCTCGGTGGGTATTTTGCACAAATATCAAGTTATCTATTCATATGCAATTGCTAGAATAAGTAGGGAAAGAAAGAAAGAAAGAAAGAAGCAAAAAGAAGGTTGAACGGAAAACCGAGTGAACTTTTGAGCACGCCATCTGGAAAACTCATTTAATTTGTAGTTTAGCGCACTTTATGAATTGTGACTCAAAGCTATATCAAAAGTTATGCGAGTTTGAAGTCGAACCACTTAGCAGTCCACAACACTTCATATAAACACAAAATCAAAATCAGATCGGTTAAGTTTTGACTCACATTAAAAGAATCAAATGATCTTTTACTATATCTAAAGGAAATTTCCTAATGTTATTCAAGAATTTTGAACTCTTTAAGGAATTTTTCTTAGTGAATACGGTATGTAATATTTCAATACTATAGAGGCCAAATTACATACTAAAATTTCGCTTAGTTTAAGTTATATATACAAAACAAATAATAGTTGAAAAACATGTTTTGGACCACTGTAAAAGTAAAACATAAAAGAGCAATTAACATCGTTACATCACTATACGAGCACGCTCGTGACTCCAGCAGTAACATATATTCACGAAAGCCATGTTATTTGGTAGTGACAAGCAAATAAAAAAAAAAAAGACAAAAAAATTGTGCGGAAAAAATTGATTAAAGTTTAAATCAATAATAGGATTAAGCCTCTATTCATTTTCGCTAAAAAAATTGATTAAAGTTTAAGTCAAAATCAACTGTTAATTTTCATTATACATTTTATAGGATGCACAACTTTTTAACTAGACATTTTATAAATTAACCACAAAGGTATCCCAAAATATGCATCACTTTGGCATCTAAATGAATTTGGAACCATGTCACGATTAAACAGTAGACATTACTATACTCGTACCTACCAGATACATG